AAATTTTGATTGTGTGTATAGTTGTATCAGCATTTGGTGTTGTGACTCGATTCGACGTTGATTTATAATTTAGTTTGTTTAATGTGTGTGAAAGTGTGATTAGAAAAATGTGTTTGTAAAAGTGTATTTTCATATATAAATGTTATTTTGTTGTTATTTGTGAAAATGTTTGTTTGCGAATTATTGTTAGATAAAAATTTATGTTTAAAAAAAATATAACACTAAAAAGACTTTGGAGACAATTGAAAGGAAATTGAAAATTGAAAAAATTGAAAAAATGAAATTTTTTGCATGTAGCTCCGACGGCGCTGGCATGGGCGCCGACGGTGCCCTCAACCCAAGAACAGCCTTTAACCCTTTAAAATTCGCGATTTTCACCGTAAACCGTCATTTTTATCCTTTGAGTCACCTTGAATCTTCAATTTTTACACCTAGGTCTCGCATTTGCTTGGATTTGAGGCAATTTTAAGGCAAAGGAACTTTAGTTTTCATCTTCTCTAATCTCTAAATAAGAGCTACACTTTGAATTAAAAATTTTTTATTTTCACCGAGAATTTATCTCACATTGTCGAGATCCGAAAATTTTGGAATTTTTTAAGAGATTTTGAGAAATCTTTTGGTGAAGAACGCTTACTTAGTAGATTTAAGTTTAAAGCATTTTATCTTGTGATTTTCAGAATTTTTGGAATTTATTCAGATTTTTTTAAAATTTTCTCTAGATTTACATGACACCAAGACGAGCAAAGAAAAAAAGAAAAGTAGATTATGATGAACAAAAATTTGTTAGCTTCAGAGCTAGTGCTCGATTCAATAGTCTACTTGAGCATAAAAAAGTAATTCTGGATCGTGGTTTTAAAAATTTGGGTGGAGAAGTCGAGCGATTAATCAATGCTCGACAGTATGAAAATTTCTGTTATTTTACTGCCGATGCGATTATTGGTGTAGTGATAGAATTCTATGCCAACTTTACTGAGGCTTCTGACGACTTTGTATTTGTTCGTGGGAAAAAGGTGGAGTTTTTTCCAAGAAAAATTAAGGAGTTTTATCAGTTAGAAGATGTTTACTGTTGCCAGTATAAATCATTTTCTGCTACGAATGAGGCCTTGGATGAGGTTATTTCTTTTCCGACTGATGGAAGAGGAACCTGAAAAGTGAAAAATGGTGTTAAGATAAACTTTCCTCTTTCTATGCTTAATGTAATATCTAAGACCTGACATAACTTTATTTATGGAAAAATGATTCCAACAAATCATCATAATGAGGTGACCAAGGATAGAGCTATTCTGAACTTCTGTATTCAGCAAGTGATGAAGATAAATGTAAACCCTATTATTTATATGAACACTAGATCTATTGCTTTGAGAGAGACCACTGATGGTTTGGCACACCCTGCACTTATTTTTACACTTTGTGAACAGGCAGGAGTTGATTTTAGACCTGTGAAAGAGAGGATTGACCTTCTAAAACCTATAGGGTCTGTCAATATAAAGACATATGAATCTCATGTTGGATGGAGGTCTGGAAGTAAGACCAGAGATATTCCTTCTACCTCGAGGACCCCTACTTTTAGTGACCCTACTAACCGAGAATTTTTGGACCAGATGATGATCAGCAGGGAGATATCTTGAGAATGGATCATAGATTGCAAAACATGGATACCAGAAATGCTCAAACTGATGATTTGATACGACAAATGTTAGAATATGATGCTGCGTATGATGGTGTCCTGGTGAGATACATGAAGAGTGATCATTCAGTTCAGTTTCCTACTCACCATGTTTTTAGTTCATATCAACGGCAGAATTTGAATGTAAAAGAAGAAGAAGATGATGATGATTGGTGATTTTTCTTTTAGTTTATATTTGAATGTACTTTGTTATTTTGTTATTTGTTTTTGTTATATTGTTGAAACTGTTTGTTGTTAGATTGTGGGACTGTTTTATTTTTGATGTTATGTTGTGAAACTGTAGTTTGTAAAACTTTTTTCATTTTTGGAAATCAATTTAATTTTGTTGTTAGTTTTTATATTTTGTTAAATGTATTATAGTTAACTTTTTCTCAGTAGATTTTATATGTATTATGCGCAATTTAATGTTTTAAGTCTTGTAGTTTTTTATATTAGCATCTGCAGTATTTCAGAATTAAGTTTCAAAATCAGAACCTTCAACAGGTATGTCTTTTCTTTATGTATTTAATGTTTTCTTTCACCCTTTTATTTTTTCAGTTCTTCATGCTAAATCTTTTAAAAAATTTAAGTTTGCGAGAGGGAAGAAATTTAAAAAAAAAAGAAAGAAAGAAACTTAATTTTATTTGTCCTCACTTATCTATATTTTCAAAAAAAAAATTAAATTTAACATGAGCTTTGGTATTAGGAGTTAACTTTAGATAACTATATTTATGTTTCTAAATATATAGTAAATTTAAGTAAAAAAATTCAATAATAAAGGTTAATTCTAAGGGATAAGATATTTGGGTATTAAGATATTTGGTATAAAAGAAAAGAACTATGTTTTTCTATCTTAAGTAAAGAAAATTGTATTTTTGAAATATTAAAAATCTTAAAAATTCATGTAAGAAGAAAAGAATTAAACTTTCTGAAATCTTTAAGCTAATATAAATTTGTTAAGTGAAGAAATGTGAAAAGTTTTTTACTTTAAAAAGAGAATAGTAAAGTTCAAAATCATTAAAGGCTATCCGGATATAGTAATCCTCACACATAAGAAAAAAGAGGAAAGAAAAAGAAAAGAAAAGAAAAGATGTGGGGAGAAGCTTGAGGAGATGCCTAATTAAAAATTGGCTTCACTTGAATCAATTTAAAAAAGAATGCTCGGCTACATTTTCTAAACTTTTATTTGAGTATTAGTTGGAGAAGAAGAAAAGTGAGAGATTTCTTCTTCCTACATTTTCTAGAAGAAGGTACAAGGGATTTGCTTTGAGAAAAAGTTTCGATAAGTGTTATTTGTTTGTTAGTATTGTATGAACTTTCTTTTATATATGAAATTTGTGTTTTGTTATATCTTTCTCATAAAATTTGAGCAGTTTACTTTATCTTTCTCCCTACTCTGAGATATGGTGAAATGAAGAGATAATATGGATGTGTCAATATTAAAATATAAAATAAATTGTGATGATTTTTCAACGCTGAACTTAATTTACTTTTCGATCTGATTAATTGAATTATTAAAATGTGTTGTGAAACATATGATCCGGGAAATAGAGTATGAATTCTACAACAGAGTGAGGATTACATTTGATTCCATGAAGGAGAATTTTCTTCATGAAATTAAGTGCAAATAAGTAGAAAAATATACTTTATTTGGTGTAGAATTGGAGAATCTTTAGGGTGACAGACTAAAATCTCAATTCAGTCTTAGTGTTTAAAAACTAAAGCGAGAGTTAGCCTTCAGGTGAAGGGAAGTGGGAGCTATAGAGTGGGAGTCAGTATCATCCTAGCCTAGCCACGGATTTAGGAACTAAAACTGAGATTAGCCAATGATTTACTATGCACTGCATCAGGGTAGAGAATTAAAATTTCTCCTATTTGGCACAATACATATTAAAAACATTTATCCCATCTCATTTCACCAGAATTAATTTTACCAAAAACTCTTTGTAGTGGGAAATATATTTTTCCTCATAAGAAATTTTCGTCATATAAACATAGTTTAATAGTTACTGTTTAAACTTTGTATTTCAATTTTGTTATTAGTTAAATAATTTAGTTCTTATAATATCTCAACATTCTAAATTAGTGACAGTAATTTTGTTTTGACTTTCTGTGAATTTTCTAATAAATTTATCATTTCAAATTTAAACATTCCCCGTGGGATCGATTTTTGGGGCTTAATAAAAAAGTCTTTTATTACTTGATAATAATATGTATGCTTGTGTAGAATCCCAACATTAATTGCTTAAATTTCTTATTCATTAAATATTGCATGAAACTTTTGGCACCGTAGCATAGCAGAGTCAACGATATAAGTTTTACACAACTATATTCTCGGGATCAGTATGTAAATTCTCTTAAATATCATTTCTCTTATAAATTTAAATAAACCCACAAGACGATCTTCTCTTCACTTTCTTTTCTCAGTTTTGCTAAAATCTATTCCTAACCCAAATAATACCACCACTACTAGAGCTAGGTGGGAAGGCAACGACGACCTCCAAAATCCCCAATTACAACAAGCAAATCAGCCCAAAGAACCAGGCAACTTGAACTCTCCTAAAACGTCAAGCAAATGGATCTCTAGAAGGGCACTCGAAGTCTTCGAAACAACGAGGACGGTATGTGTCTCTAGTAGGGCAGCAAGAGGAGCACACCCCAAACCATCAAATGTCCCCTCCCCTAAATCTTCCAACGGAGTACTAAACCACCCACCACACCAATAATTAATCAAGTCCAAAAACAATACTGAAACGATGTCTTTAATACCCCCGAAGTATTATATAAAGCAGCTCTACAATAGCTCTACAACAACCTTTCATGTGTAAACACAAAGAGGTATACATGCAGAAATTAAAATTTCAAAAAAGGTGTTAGCTATTTAAATATGCCATACGTGTATAAATAAAAAGAATACGTGCTAGCTATGTGAATACACATAAGAATTGGGTGGTATGTACGTAAATCCCCATTTTTTTTGTTTATGTACAATGCAAACATCCAACAATTAGGTGGCATGAATGTAAAAGGGACAAATTTGAGTGTTTGGGATGGAAACACATATAGAATTGCGTGACCTGAATGCAGGTTTCCCATGTAAGCAAAGATTCTTTTTAGCTTCCCCTCCCGTTTTCGAAATAGCAAAGAGCAACCATTGATTCAACAAGTCAGGGGTGGGGAAGTAAGGGATTAGCCTCCACATAGAATAACATTGCCCAATACACAGTTGCAAACTCGGCATAAAGCACCCATGAGTAAAAACAAATAAATAAATAAAAAGTAAAAAATTGCACGCCGCATATCACCACTCATTGTGACAGCTGAACATTACTACCTGCTTTACAAGAACTTAGCAAAATTTCCCCACATACATACATCAGCCTTCAATGACGTAGTTTCAACAAGTTCATAGCTTTTTCAACCATTCCAGCCCTCTGCAAGCATATCAACCAAGCCATCAAGGAAATTTAAGGGTAAGCTAATTATTTTTAGAAAGATTTACATACACACCACACAACAGGTCATACAGGCAATAATATTGAATGAAATAAATGCAAATAAATGACATAAGAAAGGCCATGGAAAGGAAAGAAAAGTGATACCCTTTGATGCAACTACTTGGAGAATATGTTTGACGCCTACTCTTGGCAGCCGAACAGGCAATTAAGCAAGAAAATTGAGCCACCAAACAAGAATACCGACAACCAAGCAAGCAGATCGAATGATTAATGGGGGAGGTTACCACTTGGTGTAGAGCACACAAGAAAAGCAAGAGTAGGTCTAGAAGCAATCGGGCAGCACCTCCCCTCTCCTTCAAAATTTCGGCCAGCCTTAAATCGCTCCCCAAGAGAGGCTTATATAGCCAAGAGAGGAGGAGAAAGCTCACCTTAACTTACCTGGGGTGAGTCGAAGTTGAAGATCACAGGAAAGCTCGGCAGTACAGCAGAGGAGGTAGCGACAGGGAGTCAGGTCGGCGACGACAACGGCTAGGTCGGCGACGGCAGCGGAAGCGAGAAGCGACAAGGGAGCGCCAGGGTTCAGAAGCTTTTCATGGGGGACCTCTGCCCACTTCGCGACAAGGGAGAGCGGATTCTCGGGCTGTCTCGCGAACGGGAAGGAGAGGGGGCGAGAGGCGTGGGTTAGGTTAGGGATTTAGAGATTTTAGAAAAAAAAAATATTCTCTTTTAATTAATTTTGTGATATTAAATATTGAAAATCACTCAATTTGTGTGTTATTTGCTTGTGCATAAAACTATAGCAAAATTGATGGTCTTTTCATGTAATTTCAACGTTCCGGACGTGCCGGTGCAGTCCGTTTTGACCTTCGGAGTTTTTCGAATGACCTCATCGACGATCGAATAAAAAACGCGTTAAATTCGATTCTCATAAAAATTGATCCGTGATCGATTGTTTCAAAAAAAATTTATGTAAGTTTTCGACAAATAACGATGCAAGCGATGTGAATCGAAAAAACTAAACGAGTCGACTATTTGAACTGCAAACTTTGTGCGCTCGGAAGTGTGAATCGTGCAAAAGGCGGTCCTAGGGCTCAAGGGTCTTATAGGAACTCCTTTCGAGCTCCCTCATGTTGGTTTCAATCTCCTACGTGCTAGAGGTCAACAACCACATGTGGAACTTCAAAAGAGTAATGAAGTGGTTTGGACTATAAATTGAGGTGAGTCCATTTTGGGTTCAAGTTGGGCTAGAGTTTAGCTATCGACCAATTGATAGTCTATCGTCCAATTGATAGTTTAATTTGATGTAGGTGGTTGTTATGAAGTGTTTTGGATATAAATTGAGTGGGAATTTTGGAGTTATGACATTCAATTTGGAGATGTTTTGAGACATGGCTAATTTAGGGTAAAATTGAGGGTTTTGGTCTAAAGTCGAACTTGAGTAAAATGGAGGCTTGACCAAGGCCAATTGAAGGTTCAATTTTATGTGGGGGAATATTGTGAAGAGTTTGAGATTCAAATTGGGGCAAATTGAGTAGGTTATGTGGTTCAATTTGATAGGATTGGGTCATGTGGTCAAAATAGGGGCTTTTTGACTTGGATTGAAATTGGGCTCAAAGTATGGGTTCAAATTAGTCTTGGAGATATTTGAAATGATTTTTTTGAAGGTTTTGGGAAAGTTTGGGTTTAGGGTTGTGAGTGGAACTATAATGTGCAAGTGAGTGAAAGTGTGTGTACTAGCTCAAGAGCAACACCAAGAGTCGATCCTAAGGCCAAGCAATCCTATGGGCACTCCCCTTGAGTTCACCGATAGTGGCCCCACCTACTAAGTGCTAGAGGTTGGGATCATTATATGGAAATCCAAATTGAGCAAATAGGAGTTTAGAATTTCTAATGGTGAGGGTTCATTTTCTAGTTCTCTAGAAATAGTCAACAGGAAAATTCTATGGCTAGACCATAAGCTACAAAAGAGGAGAAAGCTAGACCTTAACCAAAAGTGAGGTCAACACTCATCTTTTTCAGTTTGATTCATATCTTTGTTCCTCATATTTCTTTCTAGATCCAATATTATTCTAGTGATTTTCTCAATTTTCATATTAATATCATCGTTAAATTTTATAAGAAATAGATCTTTATAAGATACTTCATGATCTCCTAAATTTTGGATTGGATTCTCTCTAGATAATTCAAATTTCGAATCAAATTCTTCTAGGTTACTCTTTTGTTCAGAGTTGCCTTTCAATTCTTCCCCTTGGTACTGAGTAAATGATAGCGGTGGTCTTTCTATATTTATTTTAATTGAGGAAATATGTTTTTCTAATTCTTTAGGAATTTTTTTCATTGGTCTTTCAATCTCCTTATCTTCATTTCTCACCTCAAAGTTCTTTTGAAACATATCCTCAAATTCTCTTCTAAATATTAGTTCAACAATTTTAAATTGCTCATCATTCATCTCCTTAGGGTTTATCTCATGGTCACAAGGTAAAATCTCTTAGGGGGTAATTGTTAATTGCATTAATTTGGTTTATTCCTTATTGCGACCTCTTGAATTTCCAGCTCACTTTTCATTTGAATCACAACCTCTTGTAACATCAATTCCTTTTCCTCATCTTGTGGGTTGGAGTTAAATTGAGGATGATTATTAATTGAGTTAATAATCTGTCCTAGTTGGTTTTCCATATTCCTTATTATGATCCCTTGACACTCTAACTCACACTCTATTTGAATAACATCTTTTAATAAATCATTCTCATCATTCTAGGGGTTGAAGTCAAAGTTATGAGGAAAAGAAAGTTCATCATTATAATAGCCATGATTATTCCAACTACATGTCCAATTAAATTGATTATCTTCCCAAAATTGGTCTTCTCCTCCCATTAAATTGATTATCTTCCCAAAATTGGTCTTCTCCTCCAAAATTATTATTTCTCTTAAAATTCAAATGATTTTCCCAACTTGTACTGTAATAATCAGAATAAGAAGTATGTATCTCATGTCCAGTTTCAATCCTTTGTCCAAATGAATTTTCCTCAATAATTGGGGTTCCTTGAGGATATTTTCTATGTATTGATTTAACTTCCTCTCAATATCTGCAACCTGAGAAATTAAAATAGTAAGTCTATATTCTTGAAAATTTGCCAACCACTTGGGGTTTACTCTTTTAAAGCTACTAACATTATAATCCAAATCTGAATATTCATTATAGCATTGATTCGTCATTTCTACATTGAGTCTTTTCAAATCTCTCCCAAAAGTTCTCTCCAAATATGACTTGTAAAATTCAATGTCTACAGCTCCTGAACTACACATACAAATCTATAGACTTAAATAATATGATAGATATCAAAAATAATTTTGGTATTTTGGATTTTCTTTAAAATAAATACACAATATTTAAACACACTATATAATAATACTATAAATTCTAAATATAAGTATGACGGGTTTAACTAAAATTCTCCTAAAGTTCTTACTGAAGCTTCCCCGTCAACGACGCCAAAAACTTCATGTGCCCCTAGTGTGTTATTTTTCTTCGTGTTTTATGTCAATTTAAATCCTCAGTAACAGTGCCAAAAACTTGACCCGTCCTGAAATTATGCAATAATTTAGCTTCCAAAATATGGAAAAAAACTTGACCCAATTTATATTTACCGGTTAAAATCAAAATGTTATAAAATATATAAAATAGTTCACACACTAGTTGCAATAATTTACCTTCCAAAATATGGAAAAAAACTTGACCCAATTTATATTTAGCGGTTAAAATCAAAATGTTATAAATTGATCCCACAGAGAAGCACAGCAAGAAATTCCTTGGGCTAATTCTAGTATGCTACTATCAAATCTTAGTTTGGAAGATGGAAATTCTGAATTGATCCCACAGAGAAGCGCAGCAAGAAATCCCTTGGGCTAATTCTAGTCTACTGCTATCAAATCTTAGTTTGGAAGATGGAAATTCTCATGATAATAACATAAATCGCTATATTTAAACTATAAAAATTAAAGTAAAAAAGATAACATAAAATGGGTTTAATGAATGCTAACAGAAATATAACTAAAAGAACTAAGTTTACTAAATTAAGTTCTAAATTTTAAAATTTAATTTACTAAGACTAAACATAGTTTTGTGACGAAGAGTTCAAGTTTAAGAAAGCATCATTCCCCTTTACAATGAGTACATGGTTAGTGAAGTAATTAAAATCATTTAATGAAGAAATTGAAATCATTTAAAAAATATTTTTAAAAATTATTTTGTGCCAAATAGGAGCAATCCTATTCTCTACCCTCTTTCAAGCCCTACAAAGAACATTGAATAATCCAGTGTTTGGTCCCTAATTTCATGTTTAGGTTGAGATGATACCGGCCACTACTCCAGAGCTCTCACTTCTCCCTCGCCTGATCCTCACCTGAAGGCTAACA